GGTTTTTCTCCTAAATGAGGGAGACACCAAGAGGCTGCCGAAATTTGGACTAAACAGGGAACATTGAACTCAAAGGACAATAGGGGACTTGGCATCAAACAAATAGAACTTGAACTTGAACATCAAAGGATTTACAAATTTGGACTTTAACTTTGATTTTAACAATATAATAAGAACTTGAACTCAAGTCAATAAATAAACAAAGGACCTATTTAAACAGGCAATTGAATTTGCAAGGACCATACTTGGACTTGAATCAAACTTAAAATATAGGAAATCATGCTCCAATTTGATAAATGCATGAGTGAAAATGAAAATGCCAAAATCGAGTAATAACTTTAATCATTTGAATGCAATCAAATGAATACCAATAATAAACAAAAGACTTGTGGATTTCAGCATGACTTGCTTATAATTGATTCAAAATGTTTGTAACAAATACAATCTATTCGCAAGCAAAGATTAAGCGGAAAATGTAATAATATGTCTTCAATGATATACATAATCTACTTACAGATGGAAATGAGCAACTACAAATAATGACTCCAAACATTCAAGTGTATTCAAATAAACGCCATATAGGGAAATGCCAACCATGAAAGTAAATGTACATCGACTTGTGATAGAAGCAGAATCCCACATACAAATGTTCGAGAACAATGATAAAAAACCTCCAAATAAGCATTAATTAACAAGAGGAAAATAAACCCTCATTGCATATTACAACTTGCTTATAAATGATGAAAGTAAAGTGATACGCCCATATCAATTAGCCAGTTCACAAGCAAGAAATAAGAACCTGCAGTGAAAATGAACTTTCATGAGTGTAGTGAAAGAGGTATCTTGTTTACAAGCATGAATGTGAGCTTATAACACACACACAAAGGTCTATCACAAGCCACTACAAAGAACGTTGAACACCACTTGTTGCAATATGAGACCTCTAATAAATGCCACGATGTATTCATGATAATTATGCTCGTCAAAATGAAAATGCCAGCTGACAATGATAACGACACGATCACTCATGTCATGAGTCATCAAGTGATGCAATGAACAATTTGTTTGGAGGCATTTTATAATAAGCCATATAGTGAATAGGGTGATTTGTGAATAGGGTGATTTGCTATGTTATTATATACAATGAATGTAGTATGCTCGCAAGCAATGCAAGAGGATTGTGAAGGATATAACTTCCATCCTATCAAAGTTGGCTAATTTGCAAATAAATACACTGTAGTCTATCTACAAGAAATCTCGTCTGACGTGGTCTATTGGAAAATAGCAACGACTGAAATGCTATGGATGAGGAAGATCATAAGAAGGCACTGATGCAAAGTACATATTCTATTAAAAAATAATAACATTAGTAGTCATCTTATAAACATAGCTAAGTGGACCGAAGTGAGTGTAGTTGTGCATTCATAAATAAAGCGTCAGAGGCATATAACAAGTAAGCCAACATGCAAATAGAACCTCTATGAATGTAGGCATATGACATGCTATTCAAAAGCAAAAATCGAAGATCATAGACGAACTGTTGAAGAAATTGTAACAAATGAAAGTGTCTACAAATTGTATAGCAGGGGACATTGAATATGGAAAAATCCTACATTCAACACTAGTCAAAATATAGATGAATGCACATATTTTCTACGACTCAAGGTTCACGTGCAACAATTGTAATGGTGCTTTGCGACCGGCTTCAAAATACAAGTAGATGCATTCAACTCCACAAGCCATAAAGTCAGAGTCAATGATAATCTTCATAACAATCATGCAGGAAATGTACAGTAGCACCCAATACATCCACTTGCAAGCACTGATAGACAATTCTAGTGTCTTGAAGAAACAGACAATAGTTGCTAGAAGAATTGAAAGAGGCACAGGCAAATACTCCAAACCCGAGCAAGCTGTGGTGGTTAACATTTAATAATTGCATAAATTTTCTCACAGTCAGCATGAAAGGATGAAGAAGTGGAGAATGCAGCTATACCAAGGACCAATAATAGTATACAAGAAAATGTATCGGTCTCCTACAAAAATGGGAGGATCGATGTGCAACAAGCATACATATGTGCAACGACGATAATCAACAACAGCTAACAAATGCTACAACATATTTATAGTCAATAATCAATCAATGGTTGGAAAATACATTGATCCACTGCAAGCAAAGATTGAAGATATGTAGCGGATGTAGGCTCCTGCGAGTTATAATAGAAGACCCCTTGTACGCCCGATGTGGTGTTCATAAGCAAAATGCTAAAGGACTACAGCAAATACAAGCTCCCACGGGCCGCTGTGGGAGACCCGTATACATGCTATATATTATATGCAAGCAAATATTGAATGACATGCGATAGGTACAAGTGTCTACGGGCCCTGTAGAAAACCTGACACAGACACTAAATGTTGTCCGCAAGAAGAATGCAAGAAAAATACAACATATGCAAGTACTTGTAGTAATAACAGGAGATTCGTTCGTGCACTATAGTCCTCATGCATAAAGCAACAAGTAGAGAACGACAGTCTACATGTACGAAATGAGAAAATGACCATAGTACAACACTACGTCATCGGATCTACAACACACATACAACGGATAGAAGGCGCATATAAATTCTCAAATGGAATGTTGTGTGCACTCAAATGACAATCTCCAGTACAACTGAAGTATTCTAAAAATTCTCCAGTACATGCACTATAATATGTATACATATAGGTATACAAAAGGGCGTGTGTAATTACATAACCTGCATGGGCCCTGTCGAGCGTGTTGTAGGACCGAACGTGGCGTCTAGGGATGTTGCGCGGGTCAATAAATTTGAACACGATCCTCCTAAGAAGGTAAATATGAGTCGATAAGGTTCAATAAATAATTATAAAATGCCCTCAAACACCAGCATGAGCCCCGACGAGCGTGTTATAGGTACCCACATGACTTCTAGGAATGTTGTACGGGCCAATAAATGAACATAGTTCGAGCTCGATCCTTATATATGGATAGATAGGAGTTAAATGGTTCAAATTATCAAATAGATATACGGTCAGGATGTCGACCGAAATATCTATTTTATACGTTCATATAAGGCCTTCAAGACCTAAAAAAAATATTAACAAAACCACAAAACTAGTAACAAATCTGATCCTTTGTCAGCAAGTTGGTAGAGTCGACAGAGTCAAACAGACAAAATGCGACCCCTCATAAATATCCTGATGATGACCATGTTGAACGTAGATATCAACCGGAGGTGTTAATTCCAAATATTCTCAACTACTTACCCATTCAAATATCAAATTTCCAAAATCCCAAAATCCAAAAATATTTAAAATTGAAATAAATCATTAAACACATAAAAAAAATTCATCCACCTTCCGCAATAATTTTTCGGGGTAAACAAATTAAAATTTACATCATCTCACATAGAGCTAATGCCTAGCAAAAAATACTACTATGATTCATTTTCAAATAATCTAATACTAGTAAGGACATGGTACGTGTCTTCTGACCAATGATTTTGCCACCAAATGGCATTGTTTGATAAACGGTTATGACTCGGGCCCCTCTAAACCTTAGTGGTTTTGCCCTCAAATGGCACCACTAAATTATGATTATGCCCAAAGCCAACATATTCCTTAGTGACATCAAATCCTTGAGATATGAATCAATATGATATAATCGGTAGGGCATAAAGCCCTCTATTAGTTAAGGTGGATTCAAATTTATCCCCTTAGACAAACATCTACCCCAAGTCTACAAGGTCCCCTTGGACGAAGAAACCTATGAATGCCAACAAGGATCCTTCTATCAGGTCGGGTCGACTACCTCCTTTGACTAAGTAGACCAGGTACCACGATGGCCTGGGATGACGGAACCATGAGATTTTGATTGAGTCCATTATCCATTCTCCCACCATCCGCTTTAAGTACAAGATGGTGATATTTTTAATTTTAAATATCAACCCTTTAAATTCTAAACTTGTGTTGCTACTATACACCAGAAAACACGTATCTTTACCTATATGATTAACGACTAGCCGTAATCGATCTCTTGTTATCAGGAGGGGTAATTAACTATAGGGGCTTGCACCTATAAAAAACCATAACTCATATAATAAAGTCCTCACAAAATGAGGCGAAATCTCTAGGTAGTATCTTATCTACAAACCCATATGCCTTCCCAAAATTTACCCCAAAACTTAATCAGTTAAAACTCCCCCGAAAAAACAAGTGGGGGAGGACGAGGCCAAATTTTCAGAGCCCACAGATTTCTAGCGACTCTGCTAGGATTTGGTTTCGCTTTCCATCTTTGGCTAGTCATATAAGTGCTATTGTAGTAGCAAAAAATATGATAACGATAATATTGGGTTCTATACGGTGAACATCAGGATGCGACTCTTGATATTTTTATTCAAAAAGTGGTCACTGAACGATCTCGATAGAGGAACCAGGTTTAGTAAAGAGAATCACAATTCCTTTTTGATCATCATCAAGACATTTAATGATCCAAACATCACATCAATCCACCATCAAATATGCAACTTTATGAAGAAGAGTTCGATATAGAATAAAAAAGCAACCTTCAAGCAATTCCATTATTTATCATTGCTTTTTCAAGCATGAACAAAATTTCACGCCACAAATTTCATCTCCAATTTATTTAACATTTAAATCCCACTTTTTTTAAGATGAATAGCCAAATACTTTAGAAAATCATGACTTTCATGAGACGAACTTTTTATTCAAGTAATTCAAATGCATACCATGTTATATTCAAGCTTCATTTGAGATAACTTTTTTATCGTTTTCTAAAGTAATTTTTAGCACAAAAATTTTTTAAATAAAAATTGTTCCAAATAAAGCCTCAGACAACTGATATCAATTTTATGATGCGAATGGTAGAAAATTCTAATATCAAGCTATACAATTTTATGACGAGTATGGTATGAAACTCTAATCTCAAGACTAAACAGAGCAAATGTTCAAAGACTATTATGTGGTCTATTAGACAAAATTCGTGTTATGAAAATTGCAAAAAAACGAGCTCAAGGTTCAAAGCAATTACATCATGATGTGTTTTTGTTATGAGCTGGATGATCCATCAGCAATGAATTCGAAATAACCTTTGTGTATTGTGCTTGCCCAATAATCGACTATCAAAAACTTTAATATGGAAACAAAAATTCTAATGTCGTAAAAGCTAAATCTTCGAATGCTACATCAGAGCAATGATACTAACTGGACGGAGATTCTGTACATGCCCCTGTACTGGGTTATTGATCAAGTATATACAATCACTTAATATCAGTTTGCAACTATACAGAATCAATTCAGGCTTTCATTCTCCACTTTTTAGTTCCCACGAGAATTTTTTCGGTATGCATAGCTCACGCATAACCTGTATTTTAAATTGCGGAGTTGCAAGTCATCATTTAGTGAAAAATTAACTCAACTAGCTCTGAAGAAATGCTAATATTAAAAAAAACATAAAACCGATCATATATGATACTAACTGGCACACAAAGGTAAAAAGAACTCTTGAAATATTCATGTAAAAAATAAAAATCAATTTATTATCAAATAAAACACTATATTGGTATTATATGGCATTCCAAATTCTCCAAAATCACTCGTAAATTTATCAAATTAGAACATCTTTGGATTAATTGAACGCCACACACAAAAGAGTCCCTCTTCAAAAATTTCAGTCGCCACCATTACCAGCATGACTGACTCAACTTCCTAAACACCGAGAAATTAAGTCAGGAGATCATGGGCGTTGAATCCTGATTAGGATTGTGGAGTTAAAACCATGAGATCAATCTAGATCGGCAAGAACAGGTCAAGCTAGGGACAGTAACAAAAAAGCAAAATAATTAGGGTTGCATTTTACTTTCCCTGCTCTAAGATTCTTCTTTATTGTCACAACTAGAAGATGCATTAAGGTGCCAATTTCAGCCAAACTGAATAATGTTAAGCTAATAATGCTAAGGTTGCAAGGCATAGCTCTAAGGGAGAGACAGTATAACGCCATTAATGTGTCCCAGGAGCCTACTCTAATAAACGATACTGCCATGGAAGCAGCACAGGGGTTCACTTCGAACGCTAATGCAATCATGCTCGCCATGTTACTGCTTCAACATTGCTTGTGCCTCAATGTTCATTTCTCGCCACAAAACTAGTTTCTCCTATCTTTTAAAACGTATAAACTCATATAACTAATTTTAAACCCTTGTCACTTAACAGTAATTTGTATGAGAGAGTGGCAGCCCATAGTAATGCTATAAACTAGCTGTAGCAGCTGAGAACCTGAACTGCCATACCTCTTCCTTATTCTTCCTTTCTGTTTCTCTCTTGCAAACAACAGCCGTCGAGAACTCCTACTTTCTCGACAACAGCTTTCTCCTCCTGACATTAGCCATTGGCGAACATTTCTCAATTCCCTCTCTTTTGATAGTTAGTTTCTTCTCCTTTCCCCTCTTTTCTCTTCCTTTTCTTTTCTAATGTTTCAAGTCCTCTAGTATGAGTCCTTATGTATTCAATGCAATGCAATATTTGATCTATATTAGTTTTTGTAGAGTCATAAAGTACTAATTATTAGGCTTTTACTAGCCTAGAGCAATTCCTATTTATAAATTAATTATTTGAGTGGATTAAACCTTATATAATCTTAATCATTCCATTGTCTTGTATATATTCTTCTATTAATTAAAGTATTAGGGAGAAATCTTTGAATTAGTCTACTTGATGTGATTAGAATGATTATAGGGTTACTAAAATCTTTGCAATACTTAATATTAGCATTGATGTTGTAGCTAAAGTCAATTAGTTCGGATGCTTCGAAGTGCATGTTTCTAACTATTTGATTTTTTTTTGTAGCACTTTCTAGTTGTTGTCCTTGTAGCTTTGTCGGTTGAACATATGGAAGGATTAAAGTTTTGTGTCGCTCGCCTAGAGGTAAGTAACTATTATTTATTATTGAATTAATGTAAACTTCTTTGCTAGGGGCAAAATCCATATTAATTATATCAATCTGTTTGGATTATTGAGTAGACTGTCAATCCTATTATTATTGAAAAATTTATTGATTATTTCCCGACACTTGTAAAGATCTTTTGATGCTTATAATCAACTAACAAGTTTCATAAATAGATTATTCTTAATTTATTGTTGTATGAACTCTTGTATATCAAATTTTATATTTTCATGCACATTCTTTTATTGAATGCAATAAATGTTATAATGACAAATCATATCTTATTATGAAATAACATTTGTCATATTAAAATTATAAAACCTATTGAAAAGTGCTTTGAAATTTTTTGAAAAATCATATGCTTGGCTGCATTGAAGTGTATGTGGGTAGAACCCTATTAGATTATCAAACTCACATGTTTGTATTGTCCTTGATTTATCAAACTCACATGTTTGTATTGTCCTTGAGTGCTTGTATGTGCATTGTGCACTACTTAACATGCTTGCATAATATTTTTGTATGTTGCATGGTGCATGCATGATGTTTATTTATTGTATTTGATACATGCACAATTCATTTACATGTTATCTGATGTATGCATGATGCATTGGCATGTAGCCTACCATGTGTGCATAATATAGATATATATGTTTACATATTTGGGTACTTAACATGTGTATTTGCTTGTTTGCATGTTTACTTGTAAGTATATTTTGTGTGATGCACCTGCATGTTTGCATAACTGTCGATAAGCACACAATGTTTTGTATGATTGACGGTATGTTTACATACTGATGTATATACTTGTACAATGCACTCTTATTATTGGCGGTATACATACACACCACTTAAATATATTTTTAATCTGTTTGTATGTCTTTGGTACATGCATATTACACAACATAAGGCATGCAGGCGTCACCTTCTTTCAATGATTTGACGTGTCATGCATACTTTAATTGGAGAGTCATGCAACCCGTGATGCAAATAGTGTACCATTTTTACTTTTTCAAAGGCAAGCATTCACTGGTGTATGACACGTTCACGAGGCATACGACGCATTGATGAGGTGTGTATGAGTCCCTTATTTTAATAGTTGGCATGCACACTACTTAGGACACTCATACAACTATGACTTGTAATATAATTGATGATCTTCTTTCATCAAGGAGCATTTAATTGGGATGATTATCGGGGATATGCGGGTGAAATTCTGTGGCAATTATTAATGTGAATGTGCTGCCGTAGGAGTGTAAAATTTTTTAAAATTTTAAATTAATTATTGCCCACATTTAGGTGCATTAATACTCATTTTTTTATCTGCTTATACTGTGAGAACCTACTACACCGGTTCAATTGAACAGGTCCCTTAACTCAAATAGGTGAGCGAGAGAATATTTTCTATAAAAAATAAAATTTGAGGGAGGAGATTTGTTTACTATTGAGATTGTCGAAAGATATGTACCCGACTAGAGGAAGAAGGAAGAAGGGTTTGGAAGGTTTTTTTTCTAACGACATATAAAGTGTAATTGATTTAATTTCTTATTTTTCTGTTCAAATTTAGAAAAGAAAATTTGTAAAATTTTATTCCTTTAACTAAAACAATAGTATGTGATTGTTCAATCGGAAGAAATCCATTAGGGTGAAAGTCTTATCTTGATTCAACAAAAAAGAAAAGAAAGATTTATCGAGGTATTTTAATTTAATTTAATTTAATTTAAGAATAATTAACTTTCAATCATTTTTAGAAATTAACAATCAATTGATGTAAATTCTCGTGTATGATAGGTTTGTTCATTCGGTTTGAAGAAATAGAATGCATTGAAGAAGAAAAGGAAGAGAGTTCAACCACATTATTATTTAGTGAAAATTCAATTATTTTCTTTTATTTTAAAAGGAAGGAATTTAATAATTTTATTTATTGAATTGAAATTTTGGGATTAATGTAGGCGATGAAAGCTGTGATTCGACGAAAAGGAAGATGGTCAAGAGGATACTGAGCTGTTCTCATTCGTTGTTGCGAATATGATCAGGCGAATACTGAACTCCCTTTCTCTTTCTCCCTTTGTCTCGCTGTTGCGAATATGGTCAGGCAGACATCGGGTTGTCCTCATTCACTGTTGCAATCTAGTTAGGTGAATGTTGGACTAGCTTCTTTTGTCCCATCATTGCGAATATGATCAGGTGGACATTAGACTTTCGGAAGGGCTCATTATTCGCTGTTGCGATCTGGTCAGACGAATGCTGAACTCCCCTTTCTGGTTGGGTGCCCGACAAAGTCACTGGGAGGCATACTTAACCACCTCTTCATTCCCCCTGTTTTTATTTCCTGTTTGGAGATTGTTGAGTCTTCTAGTGACACTTTGTTTCTCCATTTCGAATAAGGTCAGGCAAACATTGAGTCGTCCTCATTCACTGTTGCAAATATGGTCAGGTGAATGTTGGACTTTCTCTTTTGTCCCGCTATTGCGAATGTGGTAAGGCGGACATTAGACTTTGGGGAAACTCTTTATTCGCTATTGCGAATATGGTCAGGTGGATATTGAGCTGTTCTCATTCGCCGTTACGAATATGGTCAAGCGAATGTTGAACTCCCCTTTTCTTTAACCCTTTGTTTAGCCGTTTCGAATATGATCAGGTAAACATTGGGCCATCCTCATCCGCCGTAGCAAATATGGTCAAGTGGATGTTAGATACCTTTTTCCTTCTGTTATGCTGTTTCGATCTAGTCAGGCAGACAGTTGATTCTTTACTTGCCTTACTCTTGTTCACTGTTTCGATCTGGTCAGGTAAACACTGAGTTTTCCCCATTCACTATTTCGATGATCAGGTGAATGTGGAACCTTTCTTTTTTCCTTCTGTTCTGTTATTTTGATTTGGTCAGGCAGACAGATGATTCTTTTCTAACTCTTGCTCGCTGTTCCGAATATGGTCAGGAGGATGTGAGACCCATTTTTCTTTCTCTATTCTGCTGCTGCAATGTGGTCAGGTAGATAGATGATTTCCTTGTCCTCTTCGTATCACCTCGGCAGATGCGCCGGGTGATCGTCGAGTGTATTCTTATCCTCTTTGTATCACCTCGGCATATGCGTCGAGTGATCGTGGAGTGTCCCTCGTCGTTTCTCACCCTCGATCTCTAGTCGAGTGGTTGTTGAGTTTGCCTTATGGTTGTTGACTTTTTCTACTGGTTGTTGAGTCTCTTTTGGCTCTTTACTCGCTATTTCGAATATGGTCAAATGAGCCTTGAGTTTTCTCCGTTCACTGTTTTGATCTGATTCTGCTCATGTGAGCATAAGATCCCCCTTCTATTCTGCTGTTTCAGTGTGATTAGGCAGATAGTTGAGTTTCCTTTTCTTGGCTCCTTCTCACTATCCTGGTTTAGTCAAGTGAGCATTGAGTCTCCTTCATTCGCTATTTCGATT